GACGTCTCAAACGATAACAATTTAAGTAATATTGTCAAATGACAAATTCTCGATCGTGGTTTGCAGGTCTAATAGAAACGGAGGCAGCGGGTACCTGTGAAACACTTTTGGTTCGTACACGCAACAGCATTTACACTGAAGTAATTTTTTTCCATATAATAATAAACAAACCTCAAAGTAGAACAACTTAAGACTAACATCTTGAATTGTTTTACAGTTGAGTCCATATAAAACCTAAACTTCGTTGCTATTGATTCACTGTCATCAACATATTATCGTGATGCAACGAAGGTAATGGTGGTCAAAGACACTTAATTTTATCCATCTGTATGGGGGGGTCAACTGTGGAAGCCATAGAGTTGGACAGTAGGCATCGTGACATTGTAAACGTGGTCTTTCAAGGAGAGACTGAGATCGCGTCGGTGCCCCAAGTGATGCAGGTTAGCGAAAGCCACTCGAGCTTTGCGGATAGGCGTCGATATTTCATCCTTCAGTCCTTTTGAACTGAGAGAACTCCTTACAAAATTACAGGTATCCATCAAACTCGTGCAACACCCTGACTTTCATAACATTTGTTCCTTCCAACTCTTAGCGTTTCGAGCCTCATTCACAGGATTGAATATGATATTGCCCCACATCAGATGCAACATGTGATATAATTCTCACTTGTGTCATCTGCCAAATACCATTAAATGTATGATTTCTCGATTTTGATAACGGTTGGGAGTGTATCAGTTGTAAAATAACACAGTCACAATTAGAATTTATTTCCCAAAATTACCGATTGACTTAATACAGTGGTACTACTTTCATCTTATTCATTGTCCATTTGCTGTTCTTCACTTTTGAGCACCATAGCATTAGCTTTGTATGGAGGACAACAAGTTGATTCTTCAACAGAACTTACCAGTTTCCTCTAATACATGCTGCATCCTAACTTCTGACGGCTATTGTTGAGGTGGCTAACTTATCCCTGTTTTTAAAACAGGAAAACGTCTTCGATTGATTACAAATCGCAACTGCTGGACGGTAATTAAACGAATTCGACACTGGTCTTGATTCTTTGAGAAACTGCATAAATCTGGAAAAATTGTTTCATCAGGCCTAACAGTTTTCTTTTACAAACCTCAAACGAGGTGATATACTAACCTGCGTCTGTGAAAAATATGACTTCTCCAAACACTTTGCGAGTGACAGTTTTCGTAAACCTTCCCTATCAGCGCAACAAATTTTGCGATCACCGGATTTTTATGTGCATGGGACCAACAACAATTTGCTCAGTATTGACTTCCCTTCCGACTCGTTAGGCGAGACGGATATTTACTTCTTTCACGGGTAAAACAAAGTCCCTTGGAAAAGTAGACGAGTGGATCAGCTTTCTCCGCCTGCTGAATCACTCTTTGGCTATCAGCGAGATAAATCCAATGCCAAATGGACGAGCGACGTGACGTGAATTTCTTGGTAAAATCAACACGTGCTCTGCATTATTGAGCATTCAATAATGGCGTCATATCAGGTGGCCTCAGCTGCATTTTAAATGGAGACATCATTTTCCAAATGGCGGCGTGATGAAAAAACGACTAACCCGCCAGAACTACTCTGTGTTGGTTGTGTGCACCTTTTCCAGCTGGGATCGAATTCGGCCATCGTCTTACTTCGATATGACGGGTTCTCTCCCTCGTAGTGGTGATGAAAAACATTTCCCCGATTATGCGATAAATTGGGTTTGTGTTCACATCAAAGCATCTGCACAAGTCAGAAACTGTGTAGTCAGATTTATGTGGCTTTTAGAGAAGTGGTCTCTCAGCTCCAACCATATGCCAAAAACTCTCATCCGGTTTGGACATAGTGACACTACGACGCACTTATTCATTGAGGCGCACACCTCAAGGTCAACTTTCGAAGGTCATGTTTTGTTTCTTGGACTATATCCTTAATAATTTAATTAACCTAGAAAATTTACATTCACTGAATGAAAAAAGATAAGTAATCTAAACATGTACTCTCAACTTAATAAACATTTTCGTAGAACAGTAATCATTCGTTAAAAATAATGGACTCCCATGCTGCTCTGCGTAAAATAATTTCCAAATTTGAGCTGTGACTTTCGAAGTGCTATAAATTGCAATGCGACCCTCAAGGTCACTAAAATTCAAACGGTGATAGAAGAGAACTGAGTACATAGAAGTGGGAATTAAAAATCAGCGGTAAACACACTTTACTCATAGATATCAACATAAAGTATGATATTGGAAAATTAAATGTATTTATAAAAAGGGCGGTTGATGTTGCACGAGTTTGATCAACACCTGTAAAGGGATTGACGAGTTGCAACTGGTTGCTCACGAGGGTGATGATATTCGTAGCCTTTTGGAAGTCTTTTATTTAGACCCTACATTTTCATGGAGAAAAGGTTATGTTGAATGATAACGCTGTTTTACACAGGAGATTTTGAGCGTTTTGGGAAGAGTCAAAGAGTATAACGATGTCGTTGGCATGTTTCAACTCAAGGAGTCCATCAGCTGGGAAAGGTTCAACACCGGAAGCTCTGCAGTTTTCTAGAGTGCCGCCCAGGATTTTTTTCTATGGCAAAATTAACGAGGAAGTGTGCACCCTGGCACCCTTGTCGGACTCCTCTTGTGAAGGTAATTGTAGTAGAGATGCGATCATACACCTTGACACGGCCTGACATTTTGAGATGGCTTTGAGAAGGTTTACGTATTTCTCAGGCACATTGCTTCCTAACAGACAAGCCCAGAGAGATGCTCTATCAACTAAGTAAAACATAGCTCGTATATCCAGAAATACAACGATGTTCGGTCTACTGGAAGTTTGACGTTGCTCGAGAATCTGACGGAGCGTGAGTATATGATCAACGCAGCTCCGGTCGGAGTGGGATTCAGCTTGTTCTTCAAAAGTAGATGACGTAATCTCATCGAACTTAGCCTGCAAAAGATTACCTATGTTAACACCTTGATTGCAACGTAGATAAGACTAGTACCACATTTATTGAGACAATCTTGGCAAGGCCATCCTCTAAAACAGGTACTACGTTCACCAAACTCAATTGTTTGGGAAGGCCAAACTTCGAAAATCTATATAACGTGCGATCATAGTTTGTGTTCATGTTAGTTCCCGATTGCCCTGACCGGAGAAAGTGAATAATCTCGGGGTCATCATCCGAAGCCTTTGGCTTGAAAGCCAGATCTGCATAACAGGAGGTAGGCGCTTACGGTCCTTAGTACATTGGGGACCGGTGCTCAGTTCCTCGGATCATACACCCTTTGGACGGGGTCAGACGTCCAGGTTGCCCAATACACCTCCATGCCCAATCGAGCTGGTAACCATTACCACGACCACAAAGGTGTGCGTGGTTCTTGCACCTCCCCTAGTTTGATTGGAAACCAGGGATTTCAACCATCTCCCTTAGGTGGACTGCAGTGGTTCATCAACCCGATTAGAGCCCCAGAGTTCGTATGGATCCTTCGTCCACGTTCTGCGGCTTAATATACTTATTATTGTTGCTATAAAACTCTTTTGTGTGGTAAACGATTGGTTTGTTCTTTTGTTTGCAGTCATAATCCAACACGACATTGGCTAAACTTTATTTCGGACAATTAAAAAAGTTCAAACAAGTCTGCTGCACACCTTCACCCAAGCGATAGGGGTGCTTGCGGAAACACGATTCTCCTGTATTACCAACCCTACTTAAAAGCCAGCTCCTCATACAACTGTACTCCCCCTGTTGGTTTTAATTTTCAGGATTGTTTCAGAATTGAGTAGTGTTTAATATTTAGTTTATACTTCTTTAAGATACTCCTCACTGTCTTAGATGGTTATCCATGCATTCAAAGTGGTGATCTGTTTTTTTTGTGAAATACAGTTAAACACTCCAATAAAATAGGGTGGTGGTGGTGGTGGTGTTGATGGTTGCAATGATCAGTGGTCTAGGTCATGACAGAAGTAACCTGGAAGGTCTCACCTTCATTCTCGCCATCACCTTCCTTCATTCCCAAATGATGTGTTACCTAAAATCTGACTGCAGTCCTTGCATAGGAAAATAAAATCTTCGCTTTAATCGTGTGTTTTCATTCATCAAACCGAAAACACTAAGCCAGATCTCTAAACATCTACCGATATTGCTAAAAGGAAATGTATGGCTTACTGAATTTAGCTTACATTGCCTCAATTAAATCGTTTGAAAGTAGAACTGTATTTTGTCGCCTTGTGTGCATCTACAAATGATGTAGAACCGCACAGTAATATGGCGCATAAGATAATCTAAACATAGTAGTAAATAACACATATATGCCCTCGCTAAAAGAATCCGGGCAAGGTTGAGAACTATTGTACCAAAAATGTACTTGTTTCAGCAGTTCATAATAATTCATGCATACAATGGCTTTCATTGTGAATAATATGTAGCGTACTTAGTTGCAAAATTTACACTGTTCATAACATCCATCTATTCAACAGTTTGTTAGATTTCTCCAAAATAACTACGCCTGAATTCCGCACAAATATTCCGTATTTATCTAATTTCTGAATCACTGATGAATACCTTTTGATCGATATATATTTGTTTCACAGGAACGACGGTAAATTCGTTTCGCGTGAACACGTCACACGATCATATTGAATGGACGCTGACTTTTGATGCATCATGCCTAGACGGCTTTCCTCATTGGTCAATCAGTTCGTGTATTTCCACCAATCGGGTTTCAGCTTTGTGTATCTTCCACAGTTAGTCATTCGATATTCGAAATAGCACACAGAATGCGTGTGGCGTTTCACTTCACGCCGGCCATCGCAATATGGATTATCAGTCGTTAATGCAGAACTAAGGAAAAATTACCGGACTAATCATGACGTGTGCCGATCAGTTACAAAATTTAACCAGGGAATCGATTATGGTGAATCAGTTTCGTGCATATGTTACTCCATTACTAGCATTTTTCGGTATCATTGGGAATATTCTCGTGATTGTAACGTTCGTGCACATGCAGCGTAAACAACGGTCTCGTTTCAATCTGTACTTGATTTTCATCAGTGTAGCACAAACCACAGATCTTGTGGTCAATGCCATTCTGGATGACTTCCTTGGTCGGGGACTGACTTGGGCAAGTGATTGTACAGTTTACATCAAACTGGACACGTACACAGTGTGGAGTTGCAAACTGTTCAGTTATGCACCGAAAGTGACCAGCTTCATAGCGAATCAGTTATTGGTCATGTCTACAGTGGATCGTCTACTGACTACGTACGAACCCATAAGATTTCGTGGAAATTCACACATGCGTACTGTGTTTGTATTGATCTGTTTGACTTTCATATTCGGAATGACTCTATTCATCCCACAACTGTTATTCAATAATCTGGTGTACGAGGAAACATCACAATTGATTGGAAAAACAACATGTCAATTTCCCAATTCACTCAGATGGGGTGTTCAGTTTGTGCTCTATGTCACTATCATTGGAACATACATTGCCCCTACTGTATGCATCACGGCAATCAATATGCTTATTCTGGTCAAGTTACAATCACTGACAAATTCTCGTTACAGAATGAGTGTGGCCGCGCGTCAATCACCGAATGAGATGCGTCGAATTGTTGGGCATTTATGCTTGACCTCTGTTTTCCTCTTTGTCACATTTCCTTTAACCGTGGTGATCATTCTTCGTCAGCGGTCGGATTTCGGTGGCTACAAAATGCTGTACCCGGAGTATGCCCAAAGGTTGGTCGACCTATCAAGACTATTCAGCTCGTTCGATGCAATAGTCTACTCATCTCAGTTTATCATTTTGTTTGCTTTCCTACCGAATTTTCGTCGTACATTGTGCCATCGGGTATGTTGCTTCCGGTCTCTATGTGGTAGTGTATTCGATTCACCCCAACCTGACTTAACATTACGCACTCGACGAGAAAGCGAACGACCCGGACCGCCAATTATGACCAGTTTTATGAAAGCTATGGCCACCGGGAACAGTGTACAGTCGGCGGCCATAAAGTGACTTCTATCATAATCAAATGATGACCGCACGCACACACACAAACACAAGCACATATAGACCAGCATTTTTGAAGTTCAATTCTATATGTGAATCGACCCATCAATCAATCGATCAAACAATCAACCCGAAGGAAAATACTATCTATGTGTACAGATACTCAAAATAATGGAATTCTTTCACTGTTCACTTTTATTTGATCGATTAGAACAGATTTGAAGTTTGTTCATTCCAAAACATGAGTGAATTGCCAAAATGCACCATGACTGATGCTTGAAGAGTAAGCCACATTCCCTATTTTCGGTGATAAACTTCCCCAATTGTGCTGTACTCGATAATAATAATAAACTTACTATCTATGGCAGTTTTATTGGCACTGATAGTGTTTTATATGCATCTAATAGTTAGTTATCTGGGCAGGGGATTTCTAATGAACCGCATTTACTAGGAAATTATTTCTTTTATAAAGTCGTGTGGTTCACTTTGATGAAGTAGGTAAATTGATATACATACTGAAGACAAATTGAAATGTGTGACAATAGGATCTATGAATTCCCCCGGACAATACGAGAAAAGTGCTTACGAATATGTACTGTTTAATTTTGTGCACGTGTTTATTCTCACGAGGAAACTTTGAGGGGTGTAAATCCCAGTGTAATGTTCCTTTTAGAAGGCAGACTGATTTCCTTTATTTTCAAATGTCCACTTGATGTAATTTGAAAATGTATTTTTACTCAAGTGGCTAATGATCATCTTTTGAAACAACTTCTAGCAATTAATTTTTACACTGTCTACAATATCCTTTCATCAGGTAGATAGAAATTTTTCAATATATGCTATTCAGCATAAACGGATAGATATATATTCAAACGGAAAATTAAATTTTCTCGCCAAATGTGGTGAATTGCGCCAGGATTGTGCATCCAGATCGATTTACAGGGTTATGCAACGAAAATGTTATGCACACTTTGATATTCGCTGGCCAAAGCTCGTGACTAGTGTGACCTTTTCAACTACGTCCCATGTTATACCGGCAATGAGGTATAGCATGCGGTGCTGACATATATTTTGTACACAACGTTTTATGCATGAAAGTATTCAGTGCACCAGTTAACCGAGTGTGACGTTCTTAGAAGCCTCCTAGGATGGCGGCGTCCACCAGTTCAATGCTCTGATGCATGAATGCAGCAAGAATTTCACATTTAAGAAACCTTTAAGGGACCAATGTGCAGGATTCACGGTTGTTATGAGCTTGTTCTGGAAAGGTCCCCTCAGATAAGAGTGCTCACTAAACGTGTCAGGTTGGAAACCTTGTTTCATTAGTGTTTTCTATCAATTCATTTATCTTGCAATCTTTTTGCTACGTCAAAGCATTTCTTTGTGAATGATGACTGTAAAGTCATTTCATCAAAAACAGGGACTCCTCCCAGACGAAGTTCATTTAGGAGTTTTCTATTTGACTCCGTTTGCACCGTCTGCATAATCCCATGGATTAGTTAAATAAATAGACGCTTTCCATTGTTTATCATCTATTTCTTGTATTTTTTTATAATGTTACGATGGCATTACCAATTTGGATTTTCAAAGCAATTGGATTTAAAGGGGGCTCACAACTGACCACAATCCGAAGACCATCTCTCAGCTTGATCAGTCTGTGAATTCCTACTTTTTTCGCCACCCTTTATTACAATTAAACGGCGAAGCTTGAGAATAAATGTTTCAATAATTACTCTTTGCCTCAGTTGTCATCACTTCACATCTAGCAAGTAGCTCGTCCCCAGAGGATGATGTAAATAACATAATAGTTTCAAAATAGAAAAAAACGATTGCATATAATTAAGCAAATTACAATGGGCTCTGATTTCATAACGGTTAGGTTGTTCAGACACTGATTTTCAAATAAAACCTCAAACTAAGAGTCCGGTAATTCTTTCAACAGCGTGTTGATGCAAGTTTCTGTTGGTTGTACAAAGATATTTAAGTGTAATACCAGCGCAGAATACATCCTATAGGTTTGTTTTTACCGCCATATCAAATAAACTTTATTTCGTATTTCTCCTTTGTAGTCTTACTAGGTGAAACAACCTCGCTTGAACCAGGCTAGGCCTAATTAAACAAGCAAAGGGATGATATTTACCTGCTATAGGTGTTTTTTTAACTCTAACCAGAGATTTGTGATTGTAAAACACGAAGTTCAGGAAAGGAGATAGCTTGCGAATAGAAAGCTGTTTTCGACATTTGAACAGCCATAAACGGCGGGTTATGAAATCCGCTGGCAGCAGTCTGCATCTTTCTCATACCCATGAAATAATTCACGTACTACAAAAAGCCGCTGAACTTTAATCAACCGTCATAACTTTTCCAACAATCGTTTCCAGTGAACTAATCGTAAAGTATATCCTTAATGCAAGAAACATGACCAGACTATGATCTGTTCTTCAAAATGGTCAAACTTCCCTCATGATAGTTACACAAAGCAATAATCAGTTAAAAACTCATCACTGCTGTTTTGTTCCAAAAAATCCACATTTCCCATGTTCTGTGTTCTATGGCAAGCCTTTGATTGGCCGCTTCTCCTTTCCTGAAAGTTGTATCTTTCTATGTTCAGTAAAAGGAAGTAAAAATGAAAAAGAAAAAATGGTCGTCCGATAGGTGACACGGTCGTCTATCGTCCGCCGGAGACGCTAAACAGATAGAGAGAGAAGCGACCCAGATGCAAGACATACACATCAAACCTCACTTTATTTGCCACATTCGCTTTGTTCATTATGCCCTATGTCTATGCAAACGAATTGGCTTACTTACTTGGTTATGTCCAGTCAATTCTTAGCCCCACACTCTGACGAAAAATTCGTTACTGTCCGGTAGGTTTTCTTTTCTATCCAGACAAAAATAATTACTCCCATCGATAGTTTGATTGCCTTCGTTTATCATGGGCTTCAACTCTGGACGAGTAAGTGTGTGAATGATGAGCTTATAGTTCGCCGACCATGCACCCGTTTGCATCTGAACACGTGTCATTCGAAGATAATGAATTATTTTGCAAACATTGATTACAGAGAAATAGATGCATCCGAGCGCATTTACTGAAATCAATGCATTCAGTTAGAGTAGAGAGTGCTTATCGTATTGTATACGAAGTGCCACGTCAAGAATTGGCCGCCATCAAACGTAAAACATTATTGGTGGTTGAGGTTATCCGTCAGATATCTAGCGCACAGACGTGGGTAATGAAAGAAGAAACAACTGGTGAATTTCTTCAAACTCCCAGGATCGAAGGTTGATTACGTTTTGTTCGTCCGGATCACTGATTGTTACACGCTGGCAAATTCTTTTCAACTTCCACTTTCCCTCAATCACTCTATTGACCGACCATCTGATCAATTGATCAAGTTTCTTTCATCCTAAGTTTTAGGTAATGTCGTGTCACCCTTTTGAGCTGTTTTATACCTATGTTTGCTTGTTGCGACATCCGTCTATGTTTCTAAAACCAGGAGTAGCAACGTTTCCTTAGGTATTGTAGTGCAATGAATGCTTGCATGTGTTGAGTTGAAGGCGAGTAGCAAACTATCAAAAGAAACATTTTTATTGAATTTCGTGTCTATTCAGGTACCTGATAGAAATTACTGATAAAAACTGCTATGCAAACATTTTTAAGTAAGCTACACGTCTTCTGCAACATGCTGAATGTATAGCCATCAGTAAACGTTTTCTGTATAAAGCAGACACTGGCATATCAAAATTGTTAAAGGTAATACTGTGAGCTTGTAATCACCCACCCTTTCTGTCGACGCAATCAAACAGCTGATTGGGTAATCATAAACTTGTCCATCAAGCCCTGTCACTGTGTTACACGGTAAAAACCTTCCAAGGCTTCTCCGAACATGTGAAGCATCGTATGTGTCAGGTTGACTCCGTGTGCAGAACAGCATCGTTCTCACACAATTTGGTAACGAATAGTTCGAAACTACTCTGCAAAATCAAGTCCGCGCAGATAATAAGTAGTCAAGTTGTGAATGTTTCCAACCAAGTCATAACCTTGGAGGCTAGTACTGAGTTGCGCGAGGTCTGTTGCACTCAGCAAGCTTGCAAAGATGGGTGTGCTATACTGTGTATGTTCAAAATAAGTGGGTAGTATGCTTGCGTTCTACTTGTAAGGTCCCGGGTTTGATCCTCGTTTGGACCGAAGGATTCGCACTGTTGACTGGACTCAACCAGGTCAAAACAATTGTCTGGCGCTTCCTAGCTTTTTAGCTCACACCTGACTACCACGACGAATTCATAATCTAATCAAATCAATTCTTACACTCCTTTCAAATTTGGTTTTTACAAACTAAGCTAGTTATAGGAGAAACGTCATTCAATGGGCGGGAATATGTTAGAGTTCTTTCTTATAAGTTAAACATGTGGGTGATCCTAAATGACCCCACGGGTAATACGTCTTATTTTGAAATTCCGTTGTGCTTATTTGTGTGCACTGTCTCATGCGGTATCATACTATCCATCTTTAGTGACAATGTACTCGCTGTAGAGTAGTGTACATCAACTCGCGTTTGACAATATAGGTGCTTTAAAATTCTTTGCATCTGATTGTATTTCTATCACAGTTAGATTACAGCCAACTAAAGCCGAGATCCAATCATGTCAAAGTCAAAGTCAAACTTTTATAATGGGCATTAATTACAAGCAGATGCTTTTCTTGTCCCATAGGGTGTTAACACGAATGTAACTGTAACAACGATGAACAAAATTCCATATTGTGCATTGGTTTGTGTTTTGTGTACTCATGAATGTTGGAATGCAATGTGTGTTAATGATTCATCAAGTTTTACCTTGAAAGAATCAATCGTCTCGGCACAAACAACACGAGATGGTAAGGAATTCCAGGCAGTGCACACTCTGACGGCGATCGTATAACGGCGACAGTCCAGTCGAGATTTTTGGAGTACTATTTTGAATGGATGTCCCCGTAAATGAACGTTTGATGGCACAATCAAAGGTCG